TAAATTTTATTGTACTGTAGATTCACATGGTGAACATACCATGCTATGATACCAAAAATTAGTGAAGACTAAAATTTTGACATAATTGAATACACTTAGTAGTGAAAACTGCTCAATAAGTCAAATTGTGATGTTCCAAGAATTGCAACCTATAAACAGTATGCTCATTAACAGAAAGCAACTGATCTGAAGTGATATATTTTGCAAGCAATATTATATTGTTTTTTGGGCTACCAAAAACAATATAATATTGCTTGCAAAATAATGTGTAACCAGAACCAAAGTCTGTAAGGGTTAACATTAGTTAAGTTAAATGGTTATGCTATTAAAAATGAGTGATTAATCACTCTGTTTTCAATGAAATATAGTTGCAATAGCTGTTTCATAGACTGATATGAGGAAGTGTTCCATTTTTATAAAAAGATTGGATCTATATATGCTTATTGCTGCAGTTGCAGAACAGTAAAATGAACATCATTTCTCTGTATCACTGTACTATAACAGCACAAGTTACAGGTCCAGTTTGACAAGTTTCAAATCCAGTTTAACAATTTTCTTTGGAAAAGAATAAACTAATGATAAGATCATTGTGAACATGTAACATACTGTAATTTTCAGTGAGAGCAAGAAAATTTGTTGAATCACATGAAAATTTTCCTCAGTCCAAATTTGGTAATTTTAGGCAATTATAATTCCATTTAGATAAAACCGAATATCATCTTCCTGCAAGATCTTCCATAGCTTCACACCCACCTTTATTCAAGCAAATGTCAATCAATTTTTTATATCAATGGAAAGTATCTGTTGAATGTGGATCATCTCATATGAATAAAAACACAAGTTATGCAGAATTTTCCTTGTGGTTATTTAGAACAAATCAACTGTATTAATACTTCAAATATACTATTGGAATCTATTACATTATTCATTGATTGCTCCATGATGACAATAACAACATATCTCATTGTTGTGAACAAATCACAACAATAAGATCAGAAAGAGGTCACAAGTGATTTACTTGTGACCTCTTTCTGATCTTATTTCTAAACATTTATTTTCCTCATATCAAGCTATCAAATTCTAAGAATGAGCAATTACAAAGAGATCAGTGGGCCTCTCCACAATTGTCAGTCTTTTCAGAATTCTAAAAATACAGTAACAGCGCCATATCTAAACTTTAAAGTTTGAATACAAACTGAAGAAGCCAATACAACTAGTGAAAATATTTTTTATTTAAAAACAGTGTGTTTACTATCATGATGCAGACTTATTTACCACAACCACAAGGAAATTGTTATATGAAATATAGCTTATTTAAATATTTTGTTTTATATTATTATTTTATTTTATTGCTAACATCCAATTTTGTGATTGTTTTACCCATTTTCTCTTGCTTTTGTATTTGAATATTCATGTCCTGTTTCTCAAGTGTTTTAAATTTTTGTATGTTCTATTTCATTTCTGTTTCAGACAACTGAAGATGATCCATTAAACATGATTGAAAACACTTTTGGCTCATTAAATTTTACTTGGTAGAGTGATATAGGTGTGGTTTTGTTTCTAAATTTTATTTTAAAGTTTAGAATTATTAGTTCATAAATTTTTACATTGCTCTTTATATTTTTATCTGTTTTGATAACATAAAAGCAAGCATACTCAGGCAGGGTAGGGACCATTATATTTTCAATACCTACAACTGCTAGAACATAAAGCACTTCATGTCTTTCTTTATATTCATCAATCTGAAAAAATTGTACTAAATGCAAATGTTATAATTTCTCTAGTTAAAGTATCAAATGCTTTCTGGTGATGATTTTTAAACTTATTCGCACGAAAATCACTTCCATACATTCTGAACAGAATTCATATTAAATTTGATTGAATTTCAACTTCTTGAACCTTGAATTGTAATGTTTTAATTATGATTATATTAAACAAAAATAACACCATTAATCCAGCAAAGAAAGTGTGTTTAATAAATAAACAAATGTTTTCTAACATTGTATAACCTGACAATGACCATTTAAAAATCAGAAATCAAACAAATTACAGATGATTTAAAAATGATGGAACACAATAATGTTGTGCACATGGAGCCAGATGCAAGCACAGTGGAAAGGTACGAAAAGATAAAAATAAAATAAAAAACTGAAGACATTAACATTAAGAGACTTCAACATTGCTTTTCAAGCATGTAAAATGGAATCAACATCCTTGAAGTTAATGGCAGTATCCCTATTAGTTATTTTATAAATCTCGATCCTTCCTAAGTGCTTGAGGTGGACTATAAGAGGAAGAGCAGTATAGATGGGTCTGTGCACAATATCTCTTGCAGCCTTTGCCTATGATGTAAGTGTATCATTTGACAGGGCCTGTCTTCTACACTGATGATACACTGATATAAATACAAATGATCATCTTATCACAGGAAAAGGTTGCAAGATAGGTTATGCACAATTCAATATTTTCAATATTTTTATTCAGTTGTACATAGTACAATACCAGCACTGCAGAGTACAGATGGTATAGGTTATGCACAGGTCCATCTACACTGCTCCTCTAATAAAGCCCAAGGATTTACTACAAGGATGCAAACTCCATTTTTCATGTCTGGAAAGCAATGTTGAAGTTTCTTAATGTTAAAGTCTTCAGTTTTTTTTACTTTTTTTGTGCCTTTCGACTGCACTTGCATCCAACTCCATGTGCATGACATTATTGTGTTCCATCATTTTAAAATCATCTGTAATGTTCTTTGTTCAATTTTCAATTGTATAACTTGACAATGATCATTAAAAACAATAGAAAATGTTTGTTTATTTACTTATTAAATTCTCTTTCTTTGCTGAATTACTGATGTTATTTTTGTTCAATATAATTTTTGCATCCAGATTTTGTGTATATGTTGGTGTTTACTATTAATTATGATTACTCTGTATTTGATTTATATATTTACAGTATTATGAAGAGAATTATCTTTAAAAGTAAACTGTTACTTTGTTTTTGAATGATTATTTTGTAAATTACATCTTCAGTCCAAAATATTAAAATGGCATAAGATTTGACATAGCTACAGTATTTTTATACAGTTAAAATTGATTATAAATACATAATAAATGTATGATTACTACCGGATAAACAAACAGCCTATAGTTTACATAAAAATTTATAACTTAAGTAAACATATATCCTTATTTATGATAAATGAATAATTTACATTATTTTAATAATACAATAATAATTTAAATAAATGAAAGCATAAATGTGCATAATGTTTTTTTTTTTAAATTATCATATACTTTTAAAAAAACAGATTCAACTTGTGTTATTCCAATTTAAACTCATTTCATCAGTATATAAATTCATTTAAATGTACTAAAGTGCATTTTGATTTTGTTTTGATTTCTCAATAAGATTTTGTTTAAATAAAAAGGCATCTGTTATGTTTATATCATATTACTTTTGATTTTATTATTTTAAGATCATCAGTAATAAATACCAAATACCTTGTAACCAGAAAAGTTTTTACTAACCACAATTTAGGTCATCTTCAGGTTGTCTATCTAATAAATACCTTAAAAATTTGATACATCTTGGAAAATTTAAAAGTGAGTTCCAACAAATAAAGAACAATAAATAGTTTGAAAGTATAATGATGAATAAATTAATAAATTAAATAAGAAAGTATATTTAAAGATATATTAAATAAATCAATGAAATAATTGACAGAGTATATAATATAATAATAAAAATAATGTTAAAAATATAGTCTTGAAGAAGTCATTCTATACAGTAACCTCTATGTTTGGGAATGTTTCTTGGTCTCTGACGTTAATACAACTTCCCTAATTTGCCCATTTGTGTATTTTGATCATTTTCATCATTTTGTAAGAATGCACAAATATTGTTACAGAATGCACAATATGTAGTGGATAAACAACTATATAGTATAAACTAGAATTGATGACAAAAATAAAATGACATCTACAGTTCCTTTTTAAAATTAAATACATTAAAGAAATAATAATTTCTCAAAGTTCAGTATGAACGAGAACGGATTAGATGCCGCAGATCAAGGAACGAACATCGGTCCAAATTGAAACATTATAATACGTTGGGACAAAATCTCTTCTCCAGAATACTTCTGCAGGATATTCCAATTTGGACCGATGTTCGTTATTAAAGAAATAACTCCTTACAAAAATCTGTTGCAAGAAAAATTTAAAGTATATTAATGTTTCTAAGATGATATCTCATTTTCAGATACAGCATTCAAAAAGAAATTCAGACTTCTTTTTGAACATTTGAATTTAAAGCAAAGAATCATTTTCGAAAATGTTAATCTAGTTTCTTGCAAGGGACTTCTATAAGTAAGAATTATTTTTAATATTTTTTAGTGACAAAAATAGCCAATCAATAATTGGTTAATGACACAAAATACTGCTATAATCAATCACTTTTTATGCTAATTTGAAATCATCGTTCTCAGTGACCACGGTGCTTTTGGAAAGTAAGTATAAGTCAAACCCTACATTATTTTTTTAATATATTTAAACCAAAGTTGAACTTGTATTACAAGCACATCCTAAAAAAAAAAAAAAAAAACTGAATAATCCAGTTTATATATTGCATGTATTCATTTACAAATATAAATTTACATTATTTCAATTTCAGAAATATAAATTTAAAAGTCTATCTAACATTTTGAATTTGTTTTTCTTGTTAATAATTCTATTACTGTAGTTATATTTAAGTCTACGTTGTCAAGGTACTGTACGTCAACGATCGCATTTTTTGTTTTAAATATTTCTACCGTAACGCGTTTATTATTCGTCAAATCCGTTTAAAATTCCTAAAAATAAAAAAAATATATACAAATATTCCAATTAAATATTTCTAATATAAACATTATGTCCATTTTCCATTGTCAACCGGCGATACGACGTTACACAATACGATCTTACTACATATATTCCTTTTTTTTATTATTAAGAAAATCTTACTTTTTTGCAGTTTTTCTGTAACCACTGCCTTATACCGTCAAATTGAGAAACAGTTTCGACAGACTCGAAATATTTAACATTCGGTCCTCCGTCCTTCTTCCTTACGACCGCCATTTTGTAACACAGAAAAGCGGTTTTAGTTTCGTTTTTTATCGTGCGATGGCGCTAGTGAGAAATGGGAAATGATCTGTTGGAAAAACACTCGCGCAGTTGTTTGCTGTACTGTACAATGCCCTTTTTAAATGAAATATTTTATATTATTTAATCGTTTTAAGTATAATATATATATATTTTAAATAAGATTACAATATATATAAGAAGCGGGTATATATTTATAATAATAATTATGATTATTATAAATATATACACACAGATTAGACACGTTTTATTAATTATTATATACAGTACAAGCTAACTTAATAAAATAAAATAAAATAGCACATACTTTTTCCCTTTTTTATTAAAAACATAAATAACAGATACATAAAGGATTTATATTATTTATTCTTTCAGATCAACATTTAAAATGTATTTTAAAATTTTGATGTCTAATTAATTTATATACGTTAGGCTATATATATATATTTAATTTAGAAAATTATTTATAATACTTTAATATAAAAATATTTCTTGGTTTTAAATTAAAATTTTAAGAAATTATACTGAACTAAACATGTGCTTTTGAAAACTGTGTTATTCTATAACGTAATGAATTTTTGAGTAAGATATTTATAAAATTAAAAATGGAATATTTCAAATATTATAATTGTTTTTAATAATTATTTTTTAAACTTTATTTTATATAAAAGGATACATGATTCTGACCGTAAGTCATTTATGAGTGATTGTTATTGAAGCACAATACGAGAAGAGTATACTGTATATAATCAATTGCATTATAGTGTTTTACAATCTTTTAAATTATATTTTCCTGCAATTAAAATATCATTTATCATGTTTTGTTGAAAAAATTCCAATTAAATCCTGATTATTGTCCTAAATTGCTACCCAATTAAAAATTTTACAATATTCGTATTCTTAAAGCTTACATTTTCTAAATAAAATTCACGAAAATTAATGAATTAAATAAAATTATTTATCAGTTTAATATAAAAGTTTTGTATTGAAATTAAATAAAATTTGTATTTATAATTTAAAGCTGAAAATAAAAAAATGAGCAATCTCTATTGATTTTATGTCGCCGATTCTGTACATGCTGCCACCTAGTGTATAAAATTTAAATTAATACATTTTAATGACATTAAAATTACAATTTCAAAATAAAAATTTCATTTGTATTTGTTTTAATTTTATTTTTTAATTCGAATAAGTGCTAAAAAAAAGAATAACATATCGATTACAGTCCGTCTTCATCGATTTAAAGTGTGTTATCGCTTGAGTACGAAGCATTGCATACAAAAGAGTGAAATCTGTAATTTAAATCTCGAAGTAAAAATTGAAAGAGCGAAAGATTGTTTATATTTAATTCTAGTAAATTTTAAAACTATTCACGCTTAACTTACATTAGATTTTTATATTTAAAACATGAAAATACTTATTTAAATTTGCTTAAAACTCTCGCAGTAATTAATTTCTAACTATGAGCGAAATGTAAATAGTTAAAAGGTTTAATTTTAATTTTATAGTTTCATATTTTTTAAACACAAAATATTTAAAAACTATAAACATCGAAATCCTTTGATTTAACGGATGATGTGTGAAAATATCCCACTTTAATTGTATGAAATATTTTAAGAAAGTCAAACAGACAAAACAGTAATTTTTATAATAAAATGAATAAATTGAACCGAATAAATATTCTCACTGGAAAAAAATATTTAGTAAAAAGACAGTGGCATTATTACTATTAAGAGTCACTTAAGGGTCCATGATATAAAAGGGCCCAAATCAGGCCTTGGGCACTTTCTATAAAAAAGCATAAATATGAGAATGATTTTTAATTATATAAGATAAATATTAATATTTTTTTTTTGTGTTTGTTAAACTAATTATTTTTATTTTAGTAATAAATGTTTTTGTAGACTATTTTTTATTGTTTTTTACTTTTTTGTTCGATATCAAATTTGTTTATAACAAAAGAAATTTGTAACTTATAATATTTCCTAACAATTTAAAAATTTAGTTTAAATTCCTATACCAATATGAATGCGGATGGGATAGATCAGTAGCGTATCCAGGATTTTGAGAATATGGTTACTGCTGGAGGCAGATTCGGGAGGACCAAGCTACTGTACATGCTCCAGTCGTTTTTCTAAAGAATATTACTCAATTACCTTAGAATCATTGGACTGCGATTTGAAAAAAAATTACAGACCTATAAATTCCCACTGTCGTTCATCTGTCCGTCTGTCTTTCCTTAATCTCGAGAATGGAATTAGATAGATGAAATACAAGAAAAGCTATGGAACTCTTAGGGACAGCAAACCACGATTAACTGTATAAGAACTTTTGATCCAAACCGGAAGTCACGTTATTTCAATTGAAAATTTTTCCCCTGAAAGCAGTTACTAGATGACTTGCACGGAAAGATTGTTATTATTAAAGGGAAAGTATGATGTACAGGTTCAAAACAAATATTATAAATGAAATAAATTAAAAATATGATTAAAAATTGCAGCCCGGCATTGTGACGATGTCACAATAAATAATCGTTCGTTTTAGTTATCTAATCTCTCTAATTGAAGTCGTGTGATATGCGTTATTATATTTATTTTTATTTTAAAGTAATAAAACTTATTGCCTTCGTATTTGGGGGATACTGCAGCACCATAAGCACACTACTGATACCCCTTTGGGTTAGGCCTTCAGCATTGGAAAGCCTTGGTTAGCAGATTTTTGGGGATAAAATGTGAACAAAATAAGTTCGTCCCGAAAGATAATAGTGCGCTTCAAATCCAGGATATGCAGTAGATCTTATGTTTACTCTGCCAGTGACAGAAATACATTTAAAATATGGAAAACGAAAGAGATTCTTCATTGTAGGAACAGTTTTTAGAATAATGTTCTTTTGCACTAGTTGGCAATCGGAAAAAATCCTGAACAATCCCGGAAAACCGGGACATCTGGCAACTCAACTTAAGCAAAATATGATAAAGGTAAAGTTATTAAAACTATGGTTACGCCACTTGTTATGGGAAAATATTATTTACTAAAGATTTCCATTTAATAAAAGGATACATGATTCTGACCGTAAGTCATTTATGAGTGATTGTTATTGAAGCACAATACGAGAAGAGTATACTGTATATAATCAATTGCATTATAGTGTTTTACAATCTTTTAAATTATATTTTCCTGCAATTAAAATATCATTTATCATGTTTTGTTGAAAAAATTCCAATTAAATCCTGATTATTGTCCTAAATTGCTACCCAATTAAAAATTTTACAATATTCGTATTCTTAAAGCTTACATTTTCTAAATAAAATTCACGAAAATTAATGAATTAAATAAAATTATTTATCAGTTTAATATAAAAGTTTTGTATTGAAATTAAATAAAATTTGTATTTATAATTTAAAGCTGAAAATAAAAAAATNGCCCTCGTATATATGCTTATTGCTGCAGTTGCAGAACAGTAAAATGAACATCATTTCTCTGTATCACTGTACTATAACAGCACAAGTTACAGGTCCAGTTTGACAAGTTTCAAATCCAGTTTAACAATTTTCTTTGGAAAAGAATAAACTAATGATAAGATCATTGTGAACATGTAACATACTGTAATTTTCAGTGAGAGCAAGAAAATTTGTTGAATCACATGAAAATTTTCCTCAGTCCAAATTTGGTAATTTTAGGCAATTATAATTCCATTTAGATAAAACCGAATATCATCTTCCTGCAAGATCTTCCATAGCTTCACACCCACCTTTATTCAAGCAAATGTCAATCAATTTTTTATATCAATGGAAAGTATCTGTTGAATGTGGATCATCTCATATGAATAAAAACACAAGTTATGCAGAATTTTCCTTGTGGTTATTTAGAACAAATCAACTGTATTAATACTTCAAATATACTATTGGAATCTATTACATTATTCATTGATTGCTCCATGATGACAATAACAACATATCTCATTGTTGTGAACAAATCACAACAATAAGATCAGAAAGAGGTCACAAGTGATTTACTTGTGACCTCTTTCTGATCTTATTTCTAAACATTTATTTTCCTCATATCAAGCTATCAAATTCTAAGAATGAGCAATTACAAAGAGATCAGTGGGCCTCTCCACAATTGTCAGTCTTTTCAGAATTCTAAAAATACAGTAACAGCGCCATATCTAAACTTTAAAGTTTGAATACAAACTGAAGAAGCCAATACAACTAGTGAAAATATTTTTTATTTAAAAACAGTGTGTTTACTATCATGATGCAGACTTATTTACCACAACCACAAGGAAATTGTTATATGAAATATAGCTTATTTAAATATTTTGTTTTATATTATTATTTTATTTTATTGCTAACATCCAATTTTGTGATTGTTTTACCCATTTTCTCTTGCTTTTGTATTTGAATATTCATGTCCTGTTTCTCAAGTGTTTTAAATTTTTGTATGTTCTATTTCATTTCTGTTTCAGACAACTGAAGATGATCCATTAAACATGATTGAAAACACTTTTGGCTCATTAAATTTTACTTGGTAGAGTGATATAGGTGTGGTTTTGTTTCTAAATTTTATTTTAAAGTTTAGAATTATTAGTTCATAAATTTTTACATTGCTCTTTATATTTTTATCTGTTTTGATAACATAAAAGCAAGCATACTCAGGCAGGGTAGGGACCATTATATTTTCAATACCTACAACTGCTAGAACATAAAGCACTTCATGTCTTTCTTTATATTCATCAATCTGAAAAAATTGTACTAAATGCAAATGTTATAATTTCTCTAGTTAAAGTATCAAATGCTTTCTGGTGATGATTTTTAGAACTTATTTGCACGAAAATCACTTCCATACATTCTGAACAGAATTCATATTAAATTTGATTGAATTTCAACTTCTTGAACCTTGAATTGTAATGTTTTAATTATGATTATATTAAACAAAAATAACACCATTAATCCAGCAAAGAAAGTGTGTTTAATAAATAAACAAATGTTTTCTAACATTGTATAACCTGACAATGACC